TTCTCCGACAAAGAGTTTATGATATTTCATTCGGAATGAAATAGTTAATACAGGGTGAGATGAAAAAACTGCAAGCAACTTCAGACTGCTGCCATTTCTAAGCCACTCGTCCGATAGCTGTTAAAATTATACCAGTGACAGCCCATTATATTGTTTACAAGCGTACAAAAGCATTGGTGAGAATTTTCAAGAAAAAAAAGTTATTCGTGATGGAATTCAAGCGTGATAGTGTGATTTCTTTATATATGGCTGGAAAACCACAAGTGGCTATCGTTAGAGCACTCCAGCATTTAAATATGAATAAATCTTTTGTATCTCGTACCATCACTCGTTACCGTGATACTGGTAGTATAGCCCGACGTCAAGGAAGTGGACGGGGGAAAACAGGAACATCAGCAGAAATGGTTCGAAAAGTAAAGAAGCGTCTTGATCGAAACCCGCGTCGCAGTGGCCGAAAAATGACTTGTGAGCTGAACATATCGCAATATTCCATACGCAAATATTGAAAAATTAGCTCGGGTTAAAGCCATTGAAATTCCTAAAAGTGCAAGAACTTACACCGCAACATAAAGAAAATAGACTTAAAAGAGCTAAAGAGTTGCTTCGCTTGGCCGAAAGTGGTGAACTGCCGGATTTGGGTTTCTCCGATGAGAAAACATTTGTTGTACAGCAGTTTGTAAACAAACAAAATGATCGTGTTTACTTGCCAAAGAGGTCAGCTGAAAATGTGCACCTTCGGTTGACCACCAGAACTCAAGAGCTAGCCTTGGTGATGGTGTGGGCCGCCTCTTCGCTCCAATTAATCGAACGTGGCATCAAAGTAAATACCAAATATTATTGCGAAAATATTCTGGAGGGTGTATTAAAGCCTTGGGCACGCAAACATTTTGGCCGCAGACCTTGGACATTCCAACAGGACTCAGCAACATCACACTCAGCACGCGCCACCCGAAAATGGTTACAAAATGAGGATCCTCGCTTTATTTCAAGCGCACAATGACCACCAAAATCTCCAGATACCAATCCGTTGGATTATTGAGTCTGGAGTATTTTGGAAAGTAAGGTTGGCACTAAAAAATAAAACAATCCCACGGCGGCCGGTTCTATGTACCAGATTGACTCGGAGGCACATTTCTCCGACCAGGGCCCGCCAACCCAGCAAATACATGTTCGTGTTCGTCCATTTTTTTGATGTGGGAGCAACATTACCCGGAATGTTTGCTCCGTATTCTCTTGGTCCGAGCCGGGATCGAGACCAACCCCGGACCATGGTTCTGCTCCGTTTGTCGTAATCGCATCCACCACAGATCGGTTTCGGTGAGATGCAACGGATGCATGGAGTGGGTGCATTTCCGGAATTGTTCCGGACTAAACCGGATACAGGAGTATAGCGATAGGGACTACATTGCTTCCTGCTACGTCAATGTAGACCCCAGTGAGTCTTCATCTTCGGCGTCCTCATCGTCGTCGCAATATGAGACTCCCCCGCAATCTCCTCAACAGCAATCTACGCAGCAGTTGACGCCACACATTGCTGTTCAGGTTCCGGATAATGCATCATTTCTCCAATTTAATTGTGATGGTCTCAGAGGTAAGATCAGCGAAATTGTAAGCTTTATGAGTCGGAAGAACATCAAGGTCGCAGCGATCCAGGAGACGAAGCTGAGTACCACCTGCAGGCTTCAAAGTTGTGATGGATACAACGTACTGAGGAAGGATCGCTCCAGAGGTGGAGGATTAGCGTTCCTATTGCACCACTCTGTCCAGTACAGACCTATCCCGCCTGAGCTTGACTCTAGTGACCCGTACATGGAATGTATGGGGGTAGCGGTCAAGTGTGGTACCGCCGAGGTAGAGGTGCTCAACGTGTACATTCCGCCGTTAAATAGCTGTGCCCCACGTTATATGCCTAATATCAGTTCACTACTGGTAGGCAATAACCGTCTGGTGCTAGGGGATTTCAATGCCCATCGTGAATTATGACATTCCGTCCTAGGTAATGACCAGAGATGCATGGCGCTGGCTGACCAAATCGATAGCTCCACGTTTTGCACAGTGAATGAGGACGCGCCCACCAGAATAAGGGGAGACTGCCACAGTTCTCCGGACATATCCATCGTGTCCCCAGGTCTGACGAATGACGTAACTTGGAAATCAGTCATTTCTCTAGGCTCAGACCACCTCCCCATTATTATCGCCATCAATAGACCACCCGACTTCATCGACTCTGAACGCCGCACTTACCTTAACCACGGGAAAGCTAATTGGCAAGAATTCAGAGAGTATACCAATCGCCGCTTCAGAGAACTGCCCAACCCATCTGATGTTCAGGTAGCAGATAGGTGTTTCCGGGACATCATCAAAGCTGCAGCCCCTCGCTATATACCTGTTGGTCGAATACCTGAAATAAGACCAAATTTCCCAGCAGAGGCAGCGGGATTAGCAAACGAGCGAGATGAGCTTCGCCGTACTAACCCTAATAACCCCAGAGTCAGGGAACTTACTCTGGAGGTAAACAGGTTAGTAGGTGAGCATAAGCGGAAAAAGTGGTTAGAACATCTGAAGCATTGCAACATCGGTACCGGAACGAGTAAGTTGTGGGCAACGGTTAAGTCGCTTTCGAACCCTGGAAAAAAGGACGATCGGACATCTGTCTCATTTAACGGCGTAGAAGTGACAGATCCGAAGAGGTGCGCGTGTTATTTTAACCGGCAGTTTGTAGAGCACCCCGAGAGTGACAGGGCGAAGAGAAGGATACTACGCCGTGTACGATCCCTTCCAGCCGAGGAGGTACCACGACAATTTACGTTGGCAGATGTTGCACAGGTCATCAGAAGCGTAAAGTCATCCAAAGCGCTTGGTCCTGACGGAATCTCAATGGTGATGTTGAAGCAACTGGATGAACCAGGAGTTGAGTATCTGACAAAACTTCTCAATCTGTCGTTAGCCACCCTAGTAGTTCCCGATGCCTGGAAAATGGGCAGGGTGGTCCCGCTACTGAAGCCGATATCACTTTTGTCACAGTAGCAAAGACGCTTGAGGCTTTACTCCTCCCCAGCATAAGAGAGTGTTTCCCAGTAGCCGATCATCAACACGGATTCCGGAAATTGCATAGCACAACAACAGCTTTACACGCCATTTCCACACATGTCAGTAGAGGTCTCAACCAGAACAGGCCGTGCGATAGAACAGTTATGGTGGCACTTGATTTATCAAAAGCCTTTGATACAGTCAATCATGCCACACTGTTCGAGGACATTGAACGCACCACCCTCCGGCCAAGTTTGAAACGTTGGATAGTAAACTACATGTGTGGACGCCAGTCGTACGTGGAATTCAGAAACAAGAAGTCGAGCATCCGTAGAGTTAAACAGGGAGTTCCCCAAGGTGGGGTGATATCTCCGGAACTGTTTAACCTCTACCTTTCTGAAATTCCACGCCCTCCAGACGGCATAGAGATTATAACGTACGCAGATGATTGTACGCTCGTGGCGTCCGGACCCATTATTGAAGACATTTGCGATCGGTTAAACGCTTACCTTGTTGATCTTACCGCCTTTTTCACTGCGAGGAATATGAAGATATCCGCCACTAAGTCGACGGCCACACTTTTCACCACATGGACTGCGGAGATGGGGCTATCCTTGAATGTGCAGGTCGATGGTGCTATTATTCCGACCACCAACTACCCCAAGGTATTAGGGGTCACATTCGATAGCCTCTTTAAGTCGTCCGCGCATACCACAGCTATCTGCGACAAGATTAGAAGTAGGAACAAGGTCCTCAAGTCTCTGGCCGGCAGTACTTGGGGAGCTGATAAGGAAACCTTGTTGACCTCTTACAACGCGATAGGCCGGTCTGTGGTAAACTATGAGGCTCCAGTGTGGTCCGCCAACGTCAGTGCTACGCAGTGGAAAAATGTTCAGTCCTGCCAGAATGCCGCCCTTAGAACCGCAACAGGGTGCCTTCTCATGACACCTGTCGATCACCTACATGAGGAGGCGAAGGTCTTACCGGTGCGACAGCATAACAAAATGCTGTCAATGCAATACCTGCTTGGGTGTTATAGACAAAGCCATCCAAATCACCATCTTGTGGATAGGCAACCTCCGCCCAGGCACGTTAGGAAAGACCTTCATGATCTAGAGAGAGAGGTACAGAGGTATAAGAGAGAGCCTCTAGATCCACAGGCCTATCAAGCGGGACTGAATAGTATTCACTCTAATGCGGTCTCAGAAGCCATTGAAGGATATAGAGTGAATACTGTGCTAGGAGACCATCCCCCTCCAGTCGCAGCTGAAGAACGAGAGCTGCCCCGACAAACCCGAGTAGTCTTGGCTCAATTACGATCCGGATGGTGCAGCCGCCTAAATTCCTACTGGGCCCGGATCAACGGCGACGTGCAGAACATCTGCCCAGCATGTGGCACAGGCCCACATGACACGCTGCACTTATTTCGCTGCCCAGCCAAGCCTACTCACCTAACTCCAGTCTCGTTATGGACACAACCCATACAGGTTGCATCCTTTTTGAGACTGGACTTAGAGGCAGAACCTGATTGAACTGAGTCAGAAAATGGAAACCGAACGAACACAGATGTATGAGCTGCTACAACAACAACAACAGTGTTGATCACCTCAAGCAAGCTCATCGCCGGGAATGTGCCAAAATGCCGCAGGGCAACATTCGGGCAGCGTGTGACGGTTTCATTGGCCGTTTGAAGGCCATAATTCGTGCCAAAGGTGACCAATTCGAACAAATCTAAACTTATTATAAAATCTGATGCTATTTCCGACATTTTTTTCTTTTATTCAATAAAATTAAAAAAAAAAATGTAAAAATTATAGCATTTGACTTTGTTGCAGTTTTTTTATCTCACCCTGTATATCCTTTTTTATATAATGAACGGTATAAAAAGACTTCCAAAGTTTTCGTTATTAAACACATCTTTGATTTAAAAATCTATAAATGTCCAAAAATGGAAATAAATTATCACTATATTGCGACGACATGCACATATATGAAAATATGCTTTTATTAAAATATATATTTTTTGAAATGTACATTATGTAAAACATAGTTGGTGTATACTATTGTGTGTACGATAATTAAATGTATAAGCACTTCATTTAGTTACAATACCAATATTTGCATACGAAGTTTTTTTTTTATAATATGGTATTGTATTGCATATTCAAAATAGTTAAAGGATTGTAGAAGTGAATATAACATCAATAAAAATAGTTTAAAAACTTTGAAAAACCAGTAACGAATTCTCTTAACAACTAAAAGTAGAAGTTTTTATCGTGGAGCCGATCGTTGCGTATACAACACATGAGCGTATATATCTAATATGGTAAAAATACAACATTTACGACTAAAAAGATAAAATTCTTAAAACAGAAAAACATGGGAGATAATAATAATAAAAAATTCAAAACATATGGAAGAGGATAGATGGTGATAGTGATGATGCCAGTGTTCATTAAGTTTACGCCACTGGAAAATGTTTATCAATATCAGAATCTTCGGCAATCATATTCAGTTTATGAAAGGTGTCACGAATATATCCTTTGCAGTCGCCAACAGCTGAAAAAGAAAACATTATGTTTAATACAATTTTTATACAAAATGGGTAGTAAAATAATAGTAATTTATTATGATTGTGTTTATATTCTTCGTTTGAATTAAAATAAAAAACATTGTGAATCCCGGCTGATTTCTAAATGTATCTACGGAAAATAACATTATATCAAGAACCCGAAGACTAAATTAAAAATAGGTCAAACGCATTGATATTTTCGCTTTTGACTTTTTAACAAATAAAGAAGTTTTGTATGTCTAAGCCCCCTGCTAAATGTAGATATGATCTCAATACAATTGTATGATGTTTCTTGGTGATTTAGGCAATATTTAGATAAATATAAATAAAACAAATTAAAACGTGTAATTCGATACGGCCGACAGATCTATACCCTCAGCCAATGTTCGATTATTTAAATATATTTTGACTTCTTTTATGATTATTTAAATTTTTGATCCTCTATGGAGGAGGTTTCGAACGAATGGACCAATATTGTCCATTTCATATCAGACCAAAAAAAAAATATGATACAAATATTGCAATGTTCCAGGTTGGGACTATATTTGTTACTTCCTTTACATTATATGACATATGTGATAGTTTTTAGAAAATGTTGAAATGTGCGTGAGGTACAAGAAAAAGTCCAGAGAAGTATTCCATTATCATACTTCATCTAATATTGAAATGGACAAAATTAGAAAATCAAACATTTATATCCAATTTTATGAGAAATCATAAATTCCAGATTCATTTCAAGTTTCTGGTTAAGAGAAATATTAAGATACGGCAAGTTGTGAAGAATCGCTGACTTTTTTGCAAGTTACGACAGATAAAAGTATTGGAAATATATATCATCATCACAACAGATCTTGCGCTAGCAAAAATGTTTGTATGCGTGAAATCTGAAAAGAGTTGGATGCTTATTTCGCATTCTTTGAGCGTTTTGTTTTTCACAATCTAGAGCCCAATGCGGGGTGGTACCAGAAGAAATGGTCTGATCTCTACCATCTTTATAGCATATCTTGTAGTAATAGAAATATTGAGATGTGCCAAGTCTGGGTGGAATCGTATTTTAATTTCGTGTTTTATGAGCTTCTTGGTTATTCAAAATTTTGACCGTTTGTGGGGGACGTACCAGAAAGAGTGGACCATCTTCACACCAGATTTTGGGTTAATAAAAATATTGTGATGTGTGAAATTTGAATACAATCCGACTCTTATTTTACATTTTATGAGAGATATAATTATGTAAAATGGTGATCCTTTGTGGGGGAGGTACTTGATGGAGTGGACCGATATTGTCCATTATCGGACCTGACCTAGCACTGATTTAAATATTAGGATTTGCGAAGTTGGAGCAGTATTGGGTCATCCTTTCTCCTTTTGTGCAGTAAAATATTTTCTTTTAAAATTTTGAAGTTTTGTGGGGGAGGTACCAGAAGGGGTAGATCGATATTGTCCATCTCTGAACACCATGTTTGGACCAAATCCGATACTTCCTTCGAGAGTTATCATGCGCACCAGCCAGCCAGACAAACACATGGACGGACGGACATCAACTCCAAATGTCCTGAAACGTGCTTGGTCCAAAGAGACCTATGGTCTAAAACCGTTATTATGATGGGTCACGTTTGGCCGTATCAAATAATAGGTGTGTCTGGTTACCCTAAAATTTGTAACAATTGTTACAAATTGTTACTGGAAGTCGTCTGTTAACCCGAAAGTTCTGCAAAAGAGAGCGGTTGGAGAGAGAAATTTTGACAGTTCTTTCAGTGAGAGTTTGCAAATTCTTGCTGGAAAAATTTCTTCTTGCAATCTCTTGCAACTCTTCTTCTTCTCATTCATCGACATTCAATCAGATGTTTTCTATTGTTTATTTATTTCTTTTTGTGATTTTAATTTGAAAATATTGTTTTGGAATTAGCAAGACTAATTGTTTTTGGAGAACAACTTTACAAAATGTGAAAAACGTAAATGTTAATATGTAATAAGAAAATAAAAGACTATTTCCAACATTTTTATTTAAAAAACTTGTAAAATTAGTATTGGTTCCTTTGTTTTAATTCTCCTTATGGGGGACAAATTGGTTTGTTTTGACAAATCAGCTGATTAGTTGCAAGCTTCTGCAGGAATAGCGTCTGTTTACTTTTCGCATTTTCCTTGCAAAAGAGAATAAAACTACCTTACTCTCTCAGAAAGAAGTTGCTGGACAATTCCTGCTGGAAAAGTAACCAGACACACCTAATATATACCCCCTCTCTAGCCATATGGCTGAGGGTATAAATATGCTTAATGAGATTATCATAGTATTGCTCAGGCTTTCCTTTTCTCGTCTCGAAATCATAAACATATTATTTTCAGCTTAACAAGGCAAGTTCCAAAAATTAGGATTAAAAAATTACTAACGTCGATGATTGGATAATAATCGACGTGACTTGCTCCACCTTTAGTTTTATTAACGCTGTTGCTCAAGTTGCCTTAGCGAAGGTTGGAAATTTCTACTACTTTTCTACATAACCTAAATTGATATTGATCTAAATTGACAAAACAAATTTTACTTCAGATATATGACACGATTTTTTAAACCTATACTTATTATTATTATTATTATTTTTTTTTTTTTTTTGTACAACTCTTGTTTGTCAAAAATAATTACCGACCGCCTGAAACTAGAGACTCTGACAATGCGTATTTTCAATAAATAAAAATTAGAAGAATTTTCATTTTAAATACTTACCCAATTTACCATCAATAACCCGAGTTGTAATGCGTTTGGCAAGGACCTTAAACAATTCTTTGGTAGCAATTTTACGTTTATAATATGGATTTAAGTAGTCGACAACAGTTTTGCTAACATCGGTCTTTTGTTTGTATACCTGATGACGATCACTCTGTGATGATTTTGTCGATGATGAAGTTGTGGCAAGTGTTTTCGTCGTACTGGATGATTCTCGTTGATGAATTTGTGATTGAGATTTTGTTGCCGAGGAACTTGAAGAAACATTTGATGATGAATGTGAGCGGGAAGATGATGAACTTGGAATTGGTTTTAATGCGACTTTCTGTGATGTTGAGCTTTGTTCTGATGATTTCGACTTGTCAGCAGATGTTGTTGAAGTTGATGAAGAGGACTTGGTTTCAGATTTCGATGATCTCTCCTTAGATTTTTCTTTACTTGAGATTGCAGCTTCTAATGTTTTCTTTTCACTGGCACTTAGGATTTTCTCAATTTCCTTCGTCACTGGATGTATATTGCCGTTATTATCATCGTCGTCCGCATTTGTCTCGTCATTTTCATCTTCATCCTCTTCTTGCTCTGCCATATTGTCGTTATTTTTTTCATTTGTTTTGTAAATAATGTGACTCTGGTATTTATCTCTAGAATTTCGATTATAGTGTGAAGTTCTTTTCGATTTAACGTGTGTACCATACTTATGAGCATCGTACGACTGTGAATTCGAACTTTTTGAACTGGAGTTGTAATCATTATTTTCCTTTGTGTCGTATTGATCAATGCTATCACCACTGCTAATAGCTTCCAATTCTTCCTTTTCCAATTTTTCAATTTCTTGTTTCAGCTTTTGTTCTTTAGAAATGAGATTTTCTAAATTGTCTTCATTGCTTTCTTGTTTTACATCCGCATTTTTGTTTTCGCTCTTTATCGACAATTTATTATCCAAACTAGCATCGCTACTCTCCACATCGGACCATTCTTCTTTGATTTTGTTAATGTCTAACTTTTCCTCCATTTCTTTATCATCGGATATGGATGAGAGTGATGTTTCACTTTCTTCATCTCCCGATTTACTTTTACTTTTTGTGAAAAATGAACCAATAGTTGTTTGTTTTTCTGACTCATGTTTATAGCTTTTTGGAGCTCTCAGGGCCTTAGGAATCTCTTTCTTATCGTTAGATTTGGGTTTTTGTTCTTCTAATTCTTTTAGTTTACGTTCGAAATACTCTACACTACCACCGTTCCAAACGCTTTTCTTCTTCTCCGGTTTCGGCACATAATCCATGAGCACTGGCATTAATCGTTTCTTAGAAGTTAATTGTTTGATTGTGGACAACTCTTTGGCCACAGCATGCCGATACATGTTGGCAACCTTCTGTTTGGAAAAACATTCATATTCTATATCAGCTGCAATCGCTTCAAAATCCTTTTGAACTAGATAACTTTTAGGTTTATCTTCCTCGCTTTCTTTCACGTTATTTTTGAGCGCTTCAACAAGTGCAGTTAAATAGTTTTCACGCATTGATATCTTTAAGCCGGCAACCTTAGTTGTAGTTGCCTGTGCCTGGTGTACTCGAGTAATTTCTGTGCCTGCTTCTTGTTCCAATTCACGGGCCGCATCCAAACATTTTCGCAATTGAAATTGTTTGCGAATGAAATCCTCAGTTTCTTTCTTAGCTTTCTTTGCCAATTTGGCATGGCTTACACCACCAGAGCCTTCACTATCATCGTCTTCGTAGTCATCAGCAGCTCTTTTTATGGCAGCGCGACCACCTTAACAATATAATAAAAATAAGTTTAATTTTAGTTAAGTGTCTCCTTTCTACAACATGACTTTTACTTACCTTCATACAAATCCGAACTATCCTCTAATGATATACCCGTCTTAAAGACACTGTCCATGCATAGACGTTGAAATGTTAGCAATGCCTTCTCCATTTTCTTTGGATTCTTGCACACATCACATCTGTCTTCACACTCAGGTGTTGGATCCCCAAAATAATCCGAAAATAATTTATGCCTGCACTGCATCATTTCACAGAAGGAAACGATATCATCGAAGTTCTTCATTGCTCTCTCAGCCATTTCTTGTTTACCCGAGCATGTGGACGAACGCGATCGATTTATGTCATTTTGCAAAAGAAAACGGATGGAACGGGCATCCTCTCGACCATAATATAAGCGACAATACGATTTCTTGCCATCACGACCAGCGCGACCAGATTCCTGATAATAGGCAGCAACATTCTGTGGCACATCCCAGTGTATAACAAATCGCACAGATGGTTTGTCCACACCCATGCCAAAACTGTTGGTGGCCACGATAATGGGACTTTCGCCAGACATCCATTTCTCCTGGGCTTCTACGCGCTCTGAACCCTTAAGTCCAGCATGATAAGCTATTGCATTGATTCCTTGTCGTGTCACCCCCATTGCAACACGTTCAACATTTTCACGGGTACGACAATAGATTATGCCACAACCCCGCTTGGCAGGTGCAGTTTTTTTGAATTCCTCTTCGTCGCCCAGACAATGGCTGGCAAAACCGGCCAAATGTTGAAAATCGTCTTCTATGGAATTCTTGAACACCACATCGTAGAACAGATTTTTACGAAAACTGGGTGTAATAAACTTCGCTATGGGCTCATTTAGACGCAGTTGCTTAAATATGTCCTCACGCACTTGTTTCGAAGCAGTGGCAGTTAGTGCCAACCATATTATGGAAGGATATTTGGATCTTAGCTGACCCAGTTTAAGATAATCCGGTCTAAAATCATGGCCCCATTGACTAACACAATGGGCTTCGTCCACAGCAAAGTAGGCAACTTTATCATACTTTACCATATGTGCCAATATGTCTTGGAATCCCTGGGTAGCTGCTTGTTCTGGTGTTATGTACAGGAATCTAATGTTAGGTTTCACCGATTTCAAGTCACTGACTACACGTTCTCGTTCCTTTACACCCATTTTGGAATTCAATGAATCGGCTTGAATCTTTAACTTGCCCAAATGGTCAATCTGATCCTTAATGAGAGCCAATAAAGGTGAAAACACAATTGTCACTTTGCCATCACACATCAGACCCGGAAGTTGGAAGCACAGCGACTTGCCGGAGCCTGTGGGCATGCTAACGTATACATCACGTTTCTCTGCCGGCACAATCACAATCCAGAAAACAAACGCAAAAAGAATCCAAAACATTCAGAAATTTATTCGCTTATTTTGTTTTCTTTTGTTGTTGTACTCACTTTTTACGGCACTTTTCACAGCTTTTTTCTGCAATTCCGACTTGAACTCCTTGTGACCAAAGTATTTTTCCAGACACTCATACATACGGTCCTCGGATCCATCTTCCTTACTACTCATGTTGACGAGCGTTTCTTAAATGTATTGTGAAAATCCTACGAATAAAATTTTTACCGCGTTTTATTGCATTTTTAGACAGCAAAGCGAAACGATTTTTTCGGCAAATTGCGGAAATTTGTGATAAAGATAAAAACCAAAGCAAAAACAACGATTGCTCAAGGGTTCTAGACGATCGAAAAAATCGATCTAAAGGACTCTAGAAGGTCGAGAAATGCGGTGTATAGGGTTCTACAAATAAGATCTACTCCCAAAAAAATAGCTGTTTGTTCACTGTAGGAACATGCCAAATATAATAATAATTTAAATTAATAATTTTTTTGCAGCGTAACGTAAAAGTGGACATAGTTTACACAAATATTTAAAATGTTAAATTGTTTTGTAGAATCAAGTAGGTAAGGTCATGCAAACATATGTTTACAATGTTTTTCAAAAATTTTCGTTTGACAACACCTTATTGTCAAACAATATATTTATAAATACATTTTAAATACACAAACATAGATGGAAAAGTTTTTACGCAGTGAAATTTGACAAGGCTATTTACATATAATTCAGAGATGGGTATGCTTATTTGAAATTACTTTATCTTCTTGATTTTACCATGATATTACCCAAATACGTCAGTCCATATATTCAAATTTACCAACTAATAACGTTGTTGCGATTTTTGTCGACGGACTGTTTAGAAATGAAATTTCGCTTTATATAATGGGTTTATCAAATCCGACAAACCGTAATCGTATATATATACAACTCTATTCCAGAACCTGCAGGATTGTAGTAATGTTACTAAAATAAACGATTTTTTTATGATATCAAAAAATGCAAAAAGGCTCTTGTAGATTACCGGAAACATTGGTCTATATGAGTGTTGCGAAAATTCCGAGACAGACTGCTTAAATTGTGACTTCCGGTGCAAAAATGCTAAACTTCTTACTTATCGTTAATCCCACTATAAGCAACGTCCAAATGCTTATTGAAAACAAACTCGTATAAATATAAAATATGTAAATATGTATATGATCAGGCCTTTGTACCTTTAGCATCAAATAACATTGCTGTACAGGGTAAGATAAAAAACCTGCAACCTACTTCAGACTGCTGTCAATTCCGTGATACTGGTAGCGTAGCCCGACGTCAAGGAATTAGACGAAAGAAAACAGCAACATCAGCAGAAATGGGTCGAAAAGTAAAGAAGCGACTTGATCGAAACCGTAGCCGAAAATGGCTCGAGAGCTGAACATATCCCAATATTCCATTTACAAATATTGAAAAAATGAGCTTGGGGTAAAACCATTGGAATTCCAAAAAGTGCAAGAACTTACACCAGAACAGAAAGAAAATAGACTCAAAAGAGATAAAAAGTTGCCTCGCTTGGTCGAAAGTGGTGAACTGTCGAATTTGTTTTTTTCCGATGAGAAAACATTCTTTGTTCAGAAATTTGTAAACAAACAAAATGATCGCGTTTACTTGCCAAAGAGATCAGCTGAAAATGTGCGCCTTCGATTGGCCACCAGAACTCAAGCGCCGGCCATGGCGAAGGTGTGGGCCGCCATAACAGCCGATGGTCGCTCTCCGCTCGTATTAATCGACCGTGGCATCAGAATAAATGACAAATATTATCGCGAAAATATTCTGGAGGGTGTATTTGAGCCTTGGGCACCCAAACATTTTGGCCATTCCAACAGGACTCAGCACGCACCACCCACGACTGGTTACAAAATGAGGTTCTTCGCTTCATTTCCAGCCACCAATACCAATCCGTTGGACCATTGTATCTGGAGTATTTTGGAAAGCAAGGTTGGCACTAAAAATACCAAAGTGTCGATCACCTCAAGCAAGCGCTTCGCCGGGAATAGGCCAAAATACCGCAGAGCAACATTCGGGTAGCGTGTGACGGTTTCATTGGCCGTTTGAAGGCCATAATTCGTGGCAAAGGTGGCCAAATTGAACAAATCTAGACTTATACTAAAATTTGATGCTATTTCCGACTTTTTTTGCTTTCATTCAATAAAATTAAAAAAAAAAAAATGTAAAAATTATGTTGCAGTTTTTTTTTTATCTCACCCTATAGTGTTGTAAGGTGAAAAATATTACCATACGCAAAATTCAATATTGTAAGTCAAACATGAAAAAATATTTTCACGCGATTTTCTTAGATTTTATCCGTTTCTGACAAAAAGCCATTCCGAATTTGTGAGAATTGTGAAAATCCGTTCAGGCGTTCTTGTGGTTTAAGTGGTCTAACTAACATCACCTTCATTGATATATGAGATTGTATATATTTTGCTATATATGCGATATAACAGTCAGAAGTGACATTTTCGTGCATTTTTGATTTCGCCAGGACTAAAACTATTCGCGGTTTAGTGTAAATTTTCATAATTTTTACATAAAAGCTATAGACTATTTTAACCGCTAAATATTGTCCGATGACCAAACAAAACGGTAGGCTTATGACCAGCCCTAAACAGTAGCCCCATGCTAAACTCAGCGTCGATTAGTCTAGAAGTGAGACCTGCATCTGCAAAATTAAGACATTTTTCTGTTTTTTGGTCCATTTTAACCTATAAGTATTATGCGATCATCAAAAACTATAGGCTTTTATTCTGACCCTAGCCCCACCTCCATGCTAAATTTCATGAGAATCGGGCCATAATTTCGACCTTTAGAGCAAATTAATGTGGACAGACGGACATACATAGCTAGATTGACTCAGCTCGGCGAGATAGGAAGATCCATATATAGTTTACTATGGCGGGGACCAATATTTCGAGGTGTTACATAATTTTTGGCCCAATCTAACTTATAATAGCCCCAACACATAGTGTTGTAGGTAATGAAGAGTAAATATTTTATATACGTTATGCACGGCTCTAACATGACTTCTAATCTGGAATTCACCCAACTGATGTTATGAATCATTAAACAAATCCTAACAGTTTAGATGCCCATTAAGCTGTTATACTTGCCAAAGAAATTTATTAGTCTAAAAAAACAGCAAGGATATTTCAAAAGCCAACGATATGATAACCTACACCACCATGCGTATTTAGTGAAGCTCCCGTAACAGGAAATTTATATTGGGAATGTATTTGAATTTTCAATAAATTTGACGGAGGTTTTTTACCTCTAGCACCAAATAACATTGCTGTATACTGCATGATATGACTTCGATAAGAATTATGTTAAAAATATTTATTGGAGCAATAGATATACCAGGCCGAGTATCACCAAATGGAAAAAATTGGTTAAATATAAAAATATGGTGAACAATAACCGAAAATCGGATGAAGGTATGTATCGAAAGTACATAAAAATCTGAACCGATCTCGATAAAATTTGGCAGAGGTATTTTGCGATCTGTATCTGATATCTGATACCAAAGATCATTGTTGTGGAGTGCATATTACACATGTGAGGGACTTAAAACCCAAATCGGATGATAGTTATATATGGAAAATATAGCTATATCTGAACCGATTTTCTACAAATTTGAAATACTTGATTTTAGACTGAATTACACATTTGGCGCACAGTAACATTGAAATTGGACGAAGATATATGTGGGACCAATATCTTAATTTTCCTTGGGCCAAACAACTTATTTGTGGAAAGTTTCATTTCAATCAGACAATAAAGCGACCTGTTCCTTGTTTACAAAAATACATTGACAGTCGGACAGGCATACATAAATCAACTTAAGATGTGATTCTATGCAGATCATCAAAAGGAACTATCGGTCTATCTCGCTTCCTTTTCACGCAAACATTTGGCCGCAAACAGTACCTGACCAGTGTGGTTTAGGGTATGAAAACACAATCTCAATTTTTGTAATTTTCTTTATTTGTTATAAAAAAATAATTCAATCTTATATATTAGATAAAATTTATAAAAATATGAAATAAAATATAAGTGTATTTTATTTGTACATTTTTTTTTTAAAAGAAGAAGTAAAACATGTAAAATAATTATAATTATCACTAAAGTGAATGAAGTTAATGGTAGAAAAATATTCGAGTTTTTCGATAATAAGTTTAGGTTTTTTTTGTAAATATTTATTTAAAAAGACATTATGTGATGTAAATTGTAATCTTTGAAGACTGTAAATATTACAGCACAGTTAAAAATGTTAACGAATGGTATGTTAAATATTTGAACATTAACAGTTATAAATTGGTTGGGCCAAGTCTAGACACAAACCTAACATGATGTGACTGTTATACTAAGGTTGGACGGATTATTGTTATACATAAAAAATATATAGATAAATAGAACAGAATGTATATAACACTTTAATACGCAACAAAACTGTTACTATATCTGCTCTTTTCGATTGGAACAGGTGAGAGAAGTGTGTCATGCAAACAACAAACAGGTGATGTACCCTTTCAATTTCATTCTAAATCTCCGGTCATGCCAAAGCGTAGAGTAATTAAAATGTCCATAAGGAAAATGAGTGCGGTGACCAATGACACAGACGCTGCAGCCAATACTAAATCCAGGCGAGTCATATTCGGATGCCAGTAATTTAAGTCTTTTGTTGCTGACCAGTCACGGAACAAAAGTGAAGTTGTGGCCACAAACAGCACAAATGCCACCAAAGACCACAGCACTGATGTTCTCCATGGCGTCCTACAATGGAAAATTGCAAAAGCAGACAAATAATCAATTTTTGTTCTCAATAAATGTCCACTTAGAATTAAGGGCTATGAGCAGTCGAACTTACATGTCGCCGAATAGGGCCATTATTAAGTAAATGGCAGAGTAAATTAAAAGACAGCCAAAGGTCACATAACATAAACCAATTACGCGGGGAGTGATGAAAGTACGTATGTTGGAATGTGTGGCCGGTTCATCGATCAGACCTATGCAGCATATGATGAGACACTAGACATGTGCGACAGTGGAATTAATATTTAATTGATAATTGAAACAAAGTGTTCTACTTACCAATTCGAGGAATTTTAAAGCCACCAGTGTGTAGGAGGCCTTTTTACAGGGTCCCGAGACATAAGATGTTTCGTCGGCCGGTGACATATCGACACGAGATATTTCTGAAAAAAGAAAAACAAAAATACAAACAATTAGGTCATCAACTGATCTAAAATAGTAGAAAAAAAACTGCTGGAACATAACAATAGTTTCATCAACAATACCTATTGAACTCAAATAACTCATCTTGGGGTTTGTAGAGAATGGCTTTACGACTGTTCGGAAAAAAAATTGAAATTAATTCACGCTTGTTCTATATATTTGTGCAATTATCAGAATGTGAATGTGGATAGTGTAGGTTTTCTTATTATTTTATAATTTGCTACCCCCTCTTCCCCCCAAAATAACAAATTAGTTTCAATTGTTGATCAGAGAGAATACATTGATGAGATACCATTTCGTTCGTAACAAAAATTCTGAATTGACTACCATCAAATGAGTCAATGGCATCTGTTCGATTGTGCTTTCATGCGTTAAATGTGGGTAAAATACTTTGATTTTTTTTAGCTACAAAATTTACAATAGACGACATTGTGCAATATTTTTGTTCTGATTTGTGTCAAGGGTGGTTATAGAAGTTCTACATTTGTCATGGCATAGATTATACAAAAATGTGTATAAGTGTTAATAAAGCAGGGAAAGCGCCAACATTTTTAAACAAATGTATTTTGTTTTATTGGTAGATATTTGGAAGTTAGACGTTTGTTTCTTGTACCATTAAAGGGTCGTATCCATTTCAATATGTCGGTTAAAGTGTGATCTAGGACACTACGAAATTAACGTCGTGTAAACGGCCAAGACCTATGATCAAACCAGTAAGAAAAGTTCAAAAGTCAGGCGGGCCGAATATATGATACCCTATACCACTATGCGTATTTAGTAGAGCTCCCATAACAAAAAAAATTATATTAGTAATTTATGTGAAGTAGATCATACCAACTATGAACCAAATAGCATTGCTGTATATTACAAGATATGACTTCGATAAGAGTTACATTATTATATTAATATTTATTGGAGCAATAAATTGGTCGTCCGATAGGAGCTCCGTTTTCTTACTTTTTAGTGGTAAAAGTAGCAAGACAGCCAACTGTCAAAAATTGGGAAATCGTTGAAAAAGTACGAGAACGAAAAAGAAGCAATTCTGCATATTACGCATGTGAGTGACTTTAAACCCCAAATCGGATAAAACATATATATAGGAGCTATAGCAATATCTGGACTGATTTTTACTAAATTTTGTGTACTTGATTCTAGACTGAATTCGGTCGGATATGTAGGCCATTTGGACTGATATTGTCCATTTGGTGAACAATAACCCGAGATATCGGTTGAAGATGTATATGGGAGATATATCCAAATCTGAACCGATCTTGACGAAATTTGAAACACTTATTTCAGGGCTGTATCTGGCACCAAAGATCATTGTTGTTGAGTGCATATTATGCGTGTGAGGGACTTAAACATCAAATGGGCAGATATAAATGCGAGCTACATATGAATATGATTCGATTCTAACCAATTTCAATAGGGTTCGTCCTTGTACCAAACAAATAAGGTTTGGAAAATTTCATCTCAATCGGATAATAAATGCGACCTGCATTTTGTTCACAAAAATACATGGACGGACGGACTTACATGCATAAATCGACTCAGAAAGTGATTCTATGAAGATCCTCAAAAGTAACTATAGGTCTATCTCGCTTTCTTCTCCATGTTACAAACAAATGCACAAGGACATCATACCCTTATCACTATGTGGTGTAGGGTACCATCGCGGGCATCTAACATCACAGCAGTCACATGACACAAGACTCTAGCAAATTTAATTATTCTGCCCTACCTTGTACCATGTGTCTAACAATTGCTATATTCCACAATCTGCAAGAATCTACTGCTTTTTGAAGGGAAAATCGGTTATCGTAGTAAAAAGTTTTACATTCTTATAGTTCTGGAATAAAGCAAACCATGGCCTCTATTAGGTCGGTCAAGAAGACTACTTTTGATAACAATAAACATATTTTTGTGATATGACTCCCTTAGAATTTCAAATCACAATTATGCCTTTGGACAGCAAACTTATTTGTCAGACGGGCTTACTGTTCGACCTTATATGGGCCATGGAGCAAATATTTATCATTTTGAACACGTATTGGTAGTCAGATGAGTTCTCCGTTCCCTTACTTTTTAGTGATAAAAGAAGCAAGATAGCAAACTGTTTAAACTTGTTGTTACATGCTCTCACAGTAAATAAACCAGCAAAGAAAGTTTAAAAGTCTGGAGGCCGACTATTTGATACCTTACACCACTATGCATATTTTGTAGAGCTACTCGTAACAAATGAACATTTTAATGGGGAATTTATGTGAAATACATCATACCGATTATGAATCCTTTCTGAATGCGCTTTAGCGAACTGCTTTAGAGCAGTTGTAATCTGGAATCAGAGGGAACTAATATATGAGAGGTATATCCAAACTTAATCGATTTCCATTTGGTGCACAATAATCGAATGAAGATATATTGGAAGCTATATCCAAATCTGAACCGATCTCGATAAAATTTGGCAGAGGTATTTCTGGGCTGTATCTGATACCAAATATCATTGCTTAACAAAAGCGAGGGACTTGGAAACCAAATCGGATGAAACATATATGGGAGCTATAGTCATATGTGAATCGATTTTAACTAAATTTGATATACTTTCTTTCAGGCTGATTTTGGTCGTATGTGCCAAAATTTATTTAATTTGGGCTGATATTAACCATTTGGTGCACAATAAACCGTTAAATCGGTTGAAGATATATATGGAAGCTATATCCAAACCTGAACCGATCTAGGTAAAATTTGGCAAAGGTATTTCTGCGCTACCTTAAATTAATATTACGGCTGTGAGGGACAAAAATAACAAATTAGATGAACAATGGGAGCTATAGCTATATCTGAACCGTATTTAATCAGATTTGACATATTGACTTCTAGGCTCGATTTAGTCGCATTTCATGGAATTTGGATTAATGAAAAATAAATAATAATGGTACAATAAAAAGGTAAGTTAGAGCTACCAGCTGATTACAATTTTTTTCTAAGTCCGAAATTTAAATTGAAAGTTTGAACAGTTTGGATCATATTTTTAAGAGAAAATTCAGGCATATCATTCATTTTTCGCGCTATTCAACTTATTTAAAAAAATATGAAAAATATAAAAAATGAAAACAACTTGTTGTATATAATTTTGAATGAGTCTGACAGGAAGCGGGCATAGACTCAGGGCTGTATTTCTACAGTTTTATAAAGCTGTTCTACGTCCGTATTGTACCATGAAATTCACAAAGACATAATACCCTGACTACAGTGTGGTATAGGGCATAAATAGTTGAAAAGTACAGGATCGGAAAAATTGCAATCCTGAACAAAAACGTGAAAATCATGTAACCATAATGACGCCATCACAAGCTGATAAAAATAAAATAACAAAATTGAATATTTTTGATAAATTTTGATAAATTTTTTTTGATAAATTTCAATACAAAAATTGCAGTCGACTTAAAAATATAGCATAACTACTCAGTTCGCGCCATTGGCACATTGTTTAAGTTTTGAAACATGTTGTACTCAATGAAGACCCATAACAACCTACTGTTAACGTGTCTAAATAACAGTCAGGCCCCTTTTCGAATTTCTAAAAAAAGTCGAATTCCTCATAGTAAAGAAGACAGTGTCATTTTTGTTTGAAGAGAAGTGAACAATTTGCAACTCTTTGGAATACGGGAATGGTTTTTGGGCAAAGTGTGCAAAAGTAATGGAAACTTTTTAGATCTTGAATAAAGCGGGGTTTTCTATGTGGCTAAATAGGTACTCCAATTGTGTCAGTTGACCATCTGTACGAGTTGTCGAGATACTTATTGCGATTAGAATCGTACGAAATATAAACAAGCAACAAAAAAAAAATCGTAAACAAATTTTGTCATTTCGTCTGATTTGGTGAGACACCTTATTATTATAATTATAATACATGATACATAACTTCGTTCTGCACACAAGATATAAAGTGGACACACATTCTTGTTGTTATGGTCTAATCTCATTATTGGTCATAACGGTAGCAATTTAGTGTAAATGTAAATCGTATAATTTAAAATTTGTCTTTGCATCCTGATTAACAGGTTGACACAGCCCCTATTTTTATACATTGAGTGTCTTAAACGTTTTAGGATTTCCTGTGGTTTAACGCTATTTTAATTCGTTTCATATTCATATAAAAAATATTGCATGACAACGAAATTACTACCCGTACCACCATTATTCATTTAGCAATATAAGGTAGTTTACATTATATTGAAACACACTATGAACGAATATTTCAGGTCTCGACCTATTCTCTCGTGCATTTAACCCAATATGCGTGAACAAATTAATGTTGTAGTTGTAGTTTCCCAACATTTTCCCTCAGATATTTCATCACGAATTCTATGTTTCGGAATTTTAAATAATTAGCATACGTATTTAAATACCAAGCTGGTGGAAAAAAATGTCAATATGTATCTGTGTAGTATAAACGTATATGCATATGGGCGAACGGGGTAATCAGTTTCATTTTAATATCTACTGGGATATGTTACATGCGTAGAAACAATAGAAAGCTTTACAACGTTTGTTTTTTATTTTAAAATTTTCTGGGTCAATGTGTCATTGCCGTCGTGCATAAAGTCTGTATGTTTATAAAGCTTAGACGTTAAAAAATCACCGTCATTGTAGTAAGTTAGATCGATGTAATGGTCAAATTTCCAACAACGTTCAATAAACCTTTTTAGAATTAATTATAAGGAGACGCGTCGTGGGAGATTGTTCTCAAAAAAGTAAATCTGACAATTTAAAAATATATAATGGAAATAGACTGAAAGAATTCAAGAAGGTCGAGGTATGGAGGGTATATTAACGTTGTGATTCTGTTGGAACTCGTAGAAATACTCCACTAGACCCATAAAAATAAAAATATTTTTCATCAGAGAAATATCAATTTAACAATGTCCGTCCGATTGACTTGCTCGAATTCTGAATCTCAGTTCGGCCCAACTGGATTAAACTTCTTGTTTACTTGTTTTATAGCTATTTTGGTGAAAGTTAACAGCTTTGTTTGTAACAGGCAAAAGGAAACGAGATAGACCCATAGTTCCTTTTGATGATCTGCATAGAATCGCATTCTCAGTCGATT